AAAAAAAAAAAAAAAAAAAAAAAAACGCCACCTATACATAGCAGGACAGTTTAGTTCAGCCATCTAAGATATTGAATAGACATAGTTTTTTTTTTTTTTTTTTATAAGTTTCTCAATAAACACTCACACTTGTAAGAGAAGAAAATAAGGTAAAGTTAATTAAAAATATATACGTTAAAATTAACTTATGCATAAATTACAACAAACTTTTTAAAAAAAATTAAATGATAGAACTTTTATAAAAGTTGAAATGTATATATTAATTTTAACTTATGAAAAAAAATTAATTTATTTTACCTTTATATTTAATTCTCCTAATGCAATTATTGAAAAAATTATCCAAGCCAGAGTAATGTTTCATTTATTGCTGAATGCATTTAGAAAGAAAAAAACCTGTCCAGAAAGTGCTACAACAAAAGTAGTCAAACATTTAAATCGCACATCAATGTCTATAAACCCTATCATTTGGAAGAAGAAAAATCTGCACATCAAGACCAAAGGACTCGACCTCTTTCCTTATATCCTAAACTAGAACATATTTCTACTGCATATCTAGGGTTTTAAAAAACCGTCTGCAATTGTTATTTTGGATGCAACATCAAGGTTAATTAAGTGACCACAATTGTCACCGTACCGGCTGCATTTGTCTGTAATTTCTTGCAATATTAAGATTCATATTGTAAAAAATTCAAACTTCATATTGACTAGTACTGTCAAAATAATATATTTAAGTAGAGGACAATCCTTACCTTACAAATTAAATTTATAGGATTAAGTTTAAAAAGTATTGAACATGAGAGTATTTTAGAAAATCTTAAGTCTCACATCAACTAATGTTATAACCACAATTTAAAATTTAAAATCTCGTAAAAAATCACCGGCTCTTGTTTCAAACAGTCTAAGGACTTGTTTGGATACAACCCTAAAAATACTTTTAAGAACTTCTCTACCAGAAATAACTCTTTATTTTTAATAGAGAAACTCTCAAAATCACTTTTAACTTATATCCAAGCAGACTCTTAGTCAATATCAGCAATAAAGATTCCATGATATTCAATAAGAAAATCCTAGGAATTGTTTCGATAAACTTTCAAAAACTAAGATATTAAAATAAGAAGGAAAAATGAGATGAACTTCGTAAACTAAAATTAGCTTATGTATAAGCTAATTTGTAGAATCTATCACATTAGCTTCTCCAAAAGCTTATTTTTAACTTATACATAAGCCAGTTTTACCTAATAAAGAAGCTTAATTATTTCAATTTTTCTCCTAAAAGTGCTTCGGTCGAAGTTTATCCAACCAGACCCTTATGCTTAATCTGATCTTTTTTTGTATTCTATATCCAATGAAGAAATATGTTTTGGCAAACAAACAACTAGTAGTCACGCTACCTAGAACATTTCTTCCCCTCCCAACATCCAAACATAGGAAGCTAGACAAATTAGGAAAACTACGCAGCAACATATTAACATATACAAGACGCACCACCATTATTACAAACCATGAAAATAAATTCGTGGCACACGCGCAATTTATCCATCAACACATTTTTCCCACACTAACAACGATTTTTACCAGAGAAAAAAGTTAGTTAGGCAGGCGTGGATTAAAAAAGGAAAGAAATAAAGAAAGTACCGGTAAAAGCAATGAAATGAGGATTCTCGGCCTGAATGATGCGCTTCAAAAAGCGAGTTGTGTTAAGATCGGAGCAAAACTCGAACTCAGAGGCCAACACGTCCCTGCAGCGAGTCATGGTTCCGGTGCCATAGTGCATATCAGCCACCTGCCACGTGGACACCGAGAATTTTCAACTGTTGAATTAACTCCATAATTTTGGTGCAGAGAGAGAGAGAGAGAGTTGCCTCTGTGTAGGCTGTCATCCGCTGGGGGATTCTGTCATGTTGATCTTGACTTGCCTCTTCTGTTAGGCGGATTATCTTGATGTTCGGCGTTTGGCTGAATGCCGAATTCCACTTGGGGAATGATTATTGATATTTTTGGATTTTTTCTCTTTTTGAAGGGGTGCCTCTGAGTAGGCGAATGGGATTTTAAGGATCTTATGTATCCCAGAGTATTATTTAGGAAGCCTCTTCAGGCTTAGCTCCACTCGTCGCTCGAGTTGGAAAGCCATCTTCCACTGAGGAAGTCAAAGTCCTTTTGATTCGGATATTTTGCTTTGGAGATCACGCTTCCATTGGGAAATCTTGCGGATCTTGCTTTGATAGCTCTCACTAGGGATTCAGTCCAAGAGTGCGAGCTGAAACTTCTCTGGGGAGTATTATTTTGGCAAGCCTCTCCAGGCTCAATTATTCTGTATTTGTTGAATTTTGCCTTTTTTCATTTTTTTTTGGCTTTTTCTGTATTTTGCCTTTTTTTGTCGATTTTGGCTTTTTCTGTACAGAAATTGAAGTGCTAAAGAATTTTTGGACTCGAAAGTGAAAAATTTCATTAATGAAATTAAATTCGTACAAAGTGGGGTAAAGCCCGATCAAACAAATACAAAGCAAGGAAAAATAGCTGGTCTTCACTCCTCTACCGGCGGGTCCTGTGGAGGGTCTGGGAAGCAGCGATGCAGCCAGACTGACAGGCTATCAAAATCTTGTCTGAGGGCGTCGATACTGTGCTGGGCAGTATCGAATCGAGCGTCGATGCTCTGCTACAAGGCGTCAAAGCGAGCATCGGAGTAGGCCCTGTCCTGCTGCGAGGTGCTGGCCTCTGGCTGCGGGTCCACGTCACCCGGGAGCTCGATATTCTCGAAGAGCTCGCTAAAGGTGTCTTGGGTGGTTGCCCGTACATACTGCTTCCCCACCTTGGCTATGATCCTCATGTTGAGCAGGGTGGCAGTATTAATTGGCTTGGGCGCCAATTCCCTAGCATCTTCGTCGTCGGGGCATCCCCAATGCTCGGCGAGTCGTGAGAGGAGCGAGGAGACCATGATATACCCTCGCCGAGCGTCGCTTCCCTCCCGTGCCCCCAGATTCTTTACGTGCTCAAGAAAGAAGAATCCGGGGTTGGCCCTCTGTCCAGTGGCCATGCAGTATAGAGCCAGCAGGTCCTGTCGCGTCACAGACTCTGGACTCTTCGACCTGGCATGAATGGAGCCAGTGATCAGCTTGTGACAGATCCAGAGCGTAGTCAGGAGCCGAGTACCCTTCACTCCAGCATGATAATCCAGCTGACCCGTGACCTCTCTCCACATATCGGTCAGGGTCAGGTTATCGGGGCACTCGTAGATGGCGTCCCGATACTCCAGCTGCTCGCGTCGCTCAAAGAAGCCGGCTTGGACGTTGAACTCGTCCAACGACAAGGAGCGGTATCCTCCATTCATCCAGAAGTCCACCGAGTAGACTGTCTCTCCAACACTGTTCGTCGACTCTACGATGCCGACGGTGGCCAGAAACTCCTTCGTCGCTGTCAGGTATATCTTAGGGTGGGGGTTAAGGAGGAACCCCCATCCTATAGCAGCAATGTAGCTTCGGACATCGCCCTCCCACTCCATTGCTTGGAGGATGCTGAAGTCGAGCACCCTTGATGGCCTGAAGGCGAACGACTCAAGAAGCTCCAGCCTCTCTAGATGTCGTGCGGTCATTTCGCGTTGAGCGGGGACCCTTTGCCTCTTCCTCGATGATTCGGCCATTTCTTAAAAGTTTGGGAAGCTCAAACACACTCACAGAGAAAAGATATGCAGAGGGATGAAGAATGCTGTGTAGAAATGAGGGGGAAAGGGGCCTATTTATAGAAAAATTTATGTCAGTACGGCCCGTACTGAATTCAGTACGGCCATACTGACTTGGCCGTTATTGTACAAAATGGGAGACCAATACGGGCCGTATTGAATTCAATACGCCCGTATTGGTGTGTCCGTTGGGGTCAATACGGGCGTATTCAGTTCAGTACGCCCGTGTTGAAGCTGAAAAGTTGCCCATAACCCTAATTCAATACGGGCGTATTGAATTTGGTACGGGCGTATTGATTTGATTTTTTTTTTTTTTTTTTAGAAAAACAGAGAATAAGTGATCTCCCAGTCCACCTATCATCCGTATGCATGTATGTGGTATGATGCACCCAATTCTATTTGATTTATTTTTCAAAAGAATTAACCGATGCGTTTCTTTGTTTAGATGTCATTCCTCTAGACGGGCTGTGCGCTGCCGATTTCTATAACCGAGGAATGAGGCGTGGTGTATCGAGATGGGTTTCATCAACCCAGGGATACTTCCCTTCCTTTAGAAGACGTGTCAACCCTCCTATTGACCACTATATCTCCATGTTTCCACTAGATTATTCTAAAATCGTTTGGGACAAGAGAGAAAAGAAAGGAAAGATATATTTTTGTTCAAAGGTTTGTGTTTTAGAGGGGATTATTATTATTTAAAAGCGGTGTTTGTAAGAATGGCTGGCCAAGGTAGGCTCAAGTGTTTAGGCTTGTTTGATTAAACACTTATGAAGTTAAGAAAGTCTTGTTATTGATGTT